ACCACAGGAACACAAAGGTGCTAGAGTTGCTCACCTTAATTTTTTAAGACATGCATTCCTTTTCCTTTTAACCCAACGACATCTGAATGTGTGAATGTGCAACCCGCTCAGACCTAACAACATGCAGTAATGATCACTTTCAACATGGCACAAGTGAGAAAGTCACTCAGAGTCACTGAGGGGAAATTACAGTTGTGCACTTGTCTCTCCGACATGCTGAGTTGTCAGCTTAGCTAACAATAACTTTTTAAACAGGGGAAAAACCTGCCATGTGACACACTCACTTTAAGCCTCCGACTAATCTGACAACATGCTCAAAGTTTTCCTCTTTGTGTTCAAAAAGGCTTTTGAACTAAAAAAAAAAAATTCAGAGACAGCAAAACAGACAGTTTAAAGTTTTTGTTGGAGGTACATACAGACCTCTCCAAAACCTCCTCTCATGCTCATGTCAAATTTTGAAGCATAAAATCTTCACCACTGCTCACCAGTGCTGGCAATAATCCCAGTTAACACTAATAGGAGCTGCTTCAGGAAGCTTTTTGTTGCGCATTTATTACAATTCTGCAGCATCAGATGACAGAAACCTCTCATTATCTTCTCCAGAGTGAAAGGGCTGCACACATTTGCATGCAACGCAGAAAAACATTATTAATTACCAAAAATTAATTATCCCCGACTTGCTGACAATGTCTAACAGCAAATGACACCAAGATCTTTACTTCACAAAGATGATCTCTAACCTTTTTTATTTTGCCAAGACAGTTATGGATGTATCCCTATAACCTCTCTAATTATTAAGGCAGCTCCAAAAAACAGCTGCAGTTAAGAAAACTCTGACCTCGTGCATTATGCATCACTTGGTGTACTTTCCATCAGTGTGTTCTGAGTACGTCTGAATGAAGCCGTGAGGAGCAATCATGCAAAACGGGTCCATGTCTGAATGACAGATCGCAGTCACAGACCGATAAAGCCAGCGGTGGTGACTTAACACACACACGCTTCTCATTCTTTTGTTCACTGGTGGATTCAAGTCTCTTTTTCCACAAGTAGATGGCGCTGCAGAGCACATACACGTTGTTTTACACAGCTCTAAAAATTGATCCGCTTGTCAAAAAAAAAGTGAAACAAGAAAAGCAGCGAGCTGGGAAAAAGATTTGAAAGTCCAAACGTGGATATAAAAAGGTTGTGTGTGAACACTGGAGCATACCGTGCTGCTTAGAAAAGACTTTCTTCTGCCTCTGGAGTCTTCGGCCTCTCTCTATGACTGGATTGAAGAAGGTCACCTGAAACATGCACAGTTACACGTTACAACTCTAGTCTGCGCCTGAGGTAAAAAAACACAGCGACTGTGTTTTTTAGGTACTTTTGTGTTTTAGTGTTTGCAGGCAAATATGAATGATGAGGAGGTTCTGATGAGACTAAAAGGGAGCTGTAATGTTCACACATGTGTCTGCCCAGTACCTCAGCCAGCAGCAGCCCCTGTGGCTCCAGTTCCAGCTGGACTTGGTGTCTTTGGTTGTCCAGGAAATCCTCCAGCTTCAGGTACTTCAGAGCACACAGGGAGCGATAATCTCTCCAGTACACAGCGATCTCCATCTCCCTGGACTAATCACAAAACACGAACATTCGATTGCTTCGATACATTAAAAAAAAACAAGTCCGCAGTTCTGCTTCAGGGAAACCGTGAGAAACAGGATCTAAGCTCATGCTTGGTTATCGCTATAGGAACGACATTTGCAGCTCAGTGACAGTGTAAACATTTAACAGGCAGTTTCTTCATCGTGGTTGTGCACTGCGAATTTGCTCCCAGATTCAGGCTGTCAATGCAGAACAACACAATCTTCTTCACTATCTTCCTAACGCCCCGCTGCTCGCCAGATTTGCCTTTCTGTGACTTGGACAACTCCCTTCTCCCCACCAGAATGTAAATCTGGTTGAATGATCATAATTTTGACACACTGGAGGAGATCCAGTGGGCGTCACAGAGGCACAAGGACGAAGAGGGCAAGACTTCCAGGGAGAGATTTATATATAGCAGCTGTGCTGGAAATCTTCCAGTAGTGCGCTAGAACAGCGGCCCCCAACCTTTTTTGCGCCACGGACCAGTTTATGCCCGACAATATTTTCACGGACCGGCCTTTAAGGTGTCGCGGATAAATACAACAAAATAAAACTAGTACCGGTACCGAAAAAAAGAAGATTTATTTATAACACACGTGAAAAGACCCAGGAAAACAGAGTGAACGATAAAAACGATAAAAACGATAACAAAATAACGCTGAAAACCGATAAAAACCCTGAACACCATACATTTCACACCTGAGCCTCAACTGTTGCGGCCCGGTACCAAACGACTCACGGACCGGTACCGGTCCGAGGCCCGGGGGTTGGGGACCGCTGCGCTAGAAGATGATACTGAAGGGGAAATGTGTGAATTCAAACCAAGTAAGGAATTGGAAACAAATCCAAGTGAAAAGAAACAAAACAAAATCTCTGCTCTACTTTAAAATGAAGGTATTTTTCTGGGTAACAACCCATCAAATGCACTATAACTAATGTAAAAGCCCATGAAAAGCACTGCTTGACAGCTTAGGCCAGAACCACAGTATTTCTGTGACAGTGTAACAGATTGAGAGTGTGCTTTGTCGTACTCTTTCCAGCTCTAAAGTGAAGGTCTGGTCCCAGGCCTGCTCTCCAACTGTTCTCCAAGCTGTCTGACCCACCACTGTGTTCTCCAGCTTCAGCACGGCACTCACTTCCGCTGTTAAAGATACACAAACACTAAGTAAAAATCTCGACTGCCAACCGGGGGCTGCATTTTATTAAATTATAAGCCTCAAGTGTCAATTTGTTTTAGTTACTACAGTCATCTAGAGCTTAATTCAATGGGAAAAAAAGACCAGGAACACTTACACGAGAGGTCCTCGTTCTTACTGGGGATCTTGAGGCTCATGCTGCTGGTGCTCCGGCTGTAGAGGCCGCTCAGTTTGAATGAGGAGCGTCCATCTGGTGTGGAGTAAGAAGGCAGAACGACAGGGGTCCCTCTATTTCTCCCTGGGACGACCTCCAGAAGTCCCACACAGCCCAGAAGACGAACCTGAAGACTGCCTGGAAAGAAAAGGCAAAGAGGAATTAACCTTACGTTTTTGAATAATAAACTCTGACTGAATATGCTGAAAGCTGTTTTATTCTCCTATTTATTCCGTCTACCTGTAAGGGGTGATGGTTTGATCAGGGTGCTGTACTGGTTATGGACATATGGGGTGCTGTGACGGGAGCTGAAAGCTGAGGAGGAGGCCAGCACTAGCTCCTCTTTGATGAGGCAGGCTTTGGGATGATCCTCAGGCAGCTCCAGCAGTCTTTGTTCCAGAGAGCATCGGAGCAGGTCCAGACGCTGGGACGAGCCGCTCAAACCACACTGAGCCTGCGGAGCGCAGAAAGAATACAAAGCTGTGAGACTGGAGACAGATTTCAGATTCTTTTTAACATACTGTCCTGTGCTAACGTCTTTCTTGTAAATGGTGAAAGTCTTGTCCTTAAAAAACCGGAAAAATCCAGCAAAGACCTGAACCAGGACCTGAGAGATTAACAGGTCTGTGGGTCAAACGGGCTTTCGGCTGAACCGTCAACTGTTCACTGAAGCCTCATAAGAAATGGTTTCACTGGATGCTTCAATAAACTGCTGCATCCATTTCCTATTTTTCTTGCAAAATGAGGAGGCTAAACTGACATTATTTAGCAATGCTTAAAGGAAAAAAAAGTCAGAATTAGAAAATGTAACCAAATCTCTTTGAAATGACTACTCTGGATTATGTGGATGTGTCTGCACCAATAAAAGTACAGGTTTTTGCTTCTGCCTTTTCCAAAGAAACACTGACACTTTAAGGATTGGCTCAGTATTTAGGAACAAATGTTATGACTCTTTCACTTTCTTTCAAAGAGATACGTGACTGATATCACCACAAAGGTACAGCTAGTAATTGGTTAGCATTGTTGGACTAACATCTGAGACTGGTAATTGTGAGAAGCAGCTAGCTGGATCTGTTTAACGGTAACAACATACAGCACAGAACTCAGCATTTTCTATTCCATCTACCCAAAGGAGAGACGCAAATGCAACTTTTTAGGGTTTAAAACAGATGATACTGCCAGGACTGTAGATCTCTGACCCAGATAAAGTTCAACCATCTCCTCTCTGACCTCAGCAATGGCCTTCTTGTCTTGGACCTTTCCCGCACCCAGCAGTCGCATCATGTTCTTGGCTCCCTCAGCCATGGCGTGCTCCACACGGTAGTGATGCCACAGCTCCTCCACACGCAGCTCCGCCCCACACAGGTCCGGCTTACCTGGGACAAGGTGTGAACAGCACACAACATGAACAAAGGGCAAAAATGACTAAATATGACATAGAAACAGAAAGTGTAACGAGGCTTTTTTCCAACGATGCACTGGACCCTTTGTTTCCATTTGCTCATAAATATAACCTTAAACACTGTGAGAGTTCCACACAAACCAAAATTTGCAGGAGAAATCTAATTAAAGACATAAAACAAACAAAAGATGTTTTACACTTGGTCACCCCAGGCTTAAACCAATGTGGTGGGGTTTTAAAGAACAGGCTGTTGATCCTCATCAAGCTGGAGACGGTTACAGAAGCATATCTCACGAATTTGATCCTCACCAGTCAGATGTAAGAATGTGTGTAAGAGCACTGTAACTCTCCACAATCTGCAAACCGGTCAGCTAGCAATGATTAGCTAATTAGCCAGGAGTGTTAAGGCCTGGGTAGCTTCCAAGAGGATAAAAGACATCTGTCACGTTTATGAGGCCACCATCATCATCACTGAACACGAACAGCGTGCATTGCAGGTCTGCAAGCACAAAGCACTACTCTCATTAAGGAACCATGCTAGCTTGCTTGAATGAAGGCTAAATGATCTTTAGATCATTTGATCTGCAGCTCATTTAGATGAAGGCTGTTTAAACAATGCTGTGTGGATGAATGAGAGCAAAATGGATTTCTCAGCCAGTAAGACAACAATCTCTAAACACACAAGTTGCTCTACTAAAGTTTGCTTAAAGTCCTGACCTTAATCCCACAAAACTACTGTGGAAATATCTGAGGTGAAAGGCTCATGAGATTGCAGATACCCCCCACAGACACGTAACATTTGATAATTTTGTCTCATGTGTCACAGCGGTACAGAAAGTTTTTCCAAGAGAAAAGTTCTGTAGTATCGTAGTACTCATTTGACATTGTGTTTTTGTCTGCCTCATTTAAAGCCTCTTTTATCTCTGGTTGAGGTCGCTGCCGACTTGTGGAGAAACATCTGACTCATTTCTGGCGCCAGTAAACGCTCCACCGTGTCAGCTAGCTTGTCTGACACGCTGGGTACATTGTGCGCAGGTCCTTGTGAGTGAGCGTGTAAAATAAACATTAAAGCTTAAATGCAAAGACTTCCACGGAGCTGAGAGGAACTGGAAAGTTGGGTAATACCCTCAAGAGTGACTGCATTTATGCACCAACAGTCATGTGATCCGCGTTAACATAAAAATGGCAAACTTGGCAGTTTTAAAAAAAGCTGAAGAAGCAACACGCTGGAAGAAAAGTGGCACAGACCAAAACAAAAAACATCTCCCCAATCGAAGTGTGTGTCTTTAAGTCAGCGAGCTTGGTGTCCTATCTAGCGTCGCTGCTGATCTGAGCTTTGTTTTATCCTGCCTGCTTATTCTCTTTCATCTCTCACTCCTTCCTTCCCAGCGCTTCGCTCTGTTATCATCTCTGACTCAGTCCTTTCAGGCTCACTCCCTTCCTGGCTCCCCGCATCTGCCCGGCCTGCTCTCTAACCTCTGTTAAATGAGCCATGGCTTTTAGTTGTTGGGCAACATCAAGGGGATGCAGGAACATCAATAAGACTCTAACCTGAGAGAGTGAGGGGGCTGTAATGGACACTGCGCTTGTGTGTGTGCGCGTATGAGTGTGTGTTTTTGACTGGAAGACTATACGCTGTGAAGTTCTGAACCAAGAATTGATCCGCCCGCATCATAAAATATGCAGTGTTTATAAGCTGAAAGACTGACAGGTGGAGTAAAGGAGGAACTGAAAGATGAGACAAAAGCACAATAGGTACTTTGGTTGTCCTCAGACTGCTCCGTTGCCTGCATGGCCTTTCGGATCTGCATGCGGATGATGTCGATCTTTGTCTTGCTGTCCTGCAGCATCTGCTGAGCTGTCTGGAGAAGCTTCTTGTCCTGAAAAGTGACAAGAGATCATGTCACAGGTTGAACACCGGAAGGTGCAGGTGACAGTAAACATAGTGAGTAAGACTTTTTGCTGGTGGTTGTGCTAGTTCAGTTACCTTGGTACCGCCACTGGAATATATTGGAATCATGTTCTCTGCTCCCTGTTTGACTTTCAGCTCAATGTTCAGCTGCCGCTCCAAAGCAGCTATGCGGCGCTGATTGGTGGACGTCTGGTTGACGGGTCCTGGAGACTTATTTGAATCTGGTAACAGAAAGAGAGTCGGCTTAGGAGGTCAGGTTGCTTCTGATGCAGTCTTTCAAACATCACTTTTGTCAAATGGTCGGACATGAAGCTAAAAACTGTGTGTAGGTTTTCTTTTGGTTGTTTGTTTTTTACTTGTTTTACTCCATAAAAGGCCAACATACAAGACATTTATATGTTTTTACATATTTCCTGCCTAAGGAGGCATCAGGTTTCAGTTACAAGTGAGTAAAGTTTATATATAAAGACACTTTCAGATCGGTATTTTCCATCCATCCATCTTCTTCCGCTTATCCGGGGCCGGGTCGTGGGGACAGCAGCCTAAGCAGACAAGCCCAGACCTTCCTCTCCCGGTCTACTCCTCTAGCTTGTCCTTGGATAACACCAAGGTGTTCCCAGGCCAGCAGAGAGATATAATCCCTCCAGCGTGTCCTGGGTCTCCCCCGGGGCCTCCTCCAGGTGGGACATACACCTCACCCAGGAGGCGCCCAGTAGGCATCCTTGTCAGATGCCCGAACCGCCTTTCCTGGCTCCTTCCAATGTTTTATGAAGCATAAATCTAGTAGCAGGAATCAGCTAAAGCTAACAGACTTTTTTTTAATTCCTGACTTTTTTTTAGGAAAAAAAACCTAAAGCTGAGTAATGCACCTTATAGCTGAAACGGTGCATTACTCAGGCTTATGTTATCATCACATCATAACTACAGTTCTGGAGATCGATTAAGGTGTTGTTCATTTCTTAGTTTAGTTTCACAACTGTTTTATAATCGTTAGGCACCATGTGGAAATATGAGTATGGAAAGGTGCTGATTTGGTAAAACAGGAATGGAACCCCTGGTGCCAAACAATTTACCTGCTAAACATTAGCACTGATACTATGAGCATGTTGGTATGTTAAAGCATTTAACTCAAAGCTCCAGCGTGCCTTATTAACATCTCAGTGTTATCTAAAAGGAGGAAACACAAAAAGGCCTCCAGCAGCACAGGCAACATGTGATGTATGCTCCAAATCAGATACAGTAAAGCACTGTACCTTTGTTTTCTTCATGGCCTTTGACCACAATGTGAGCATCCAGCTCTTGGAGCTGAGCCTGGAGTGACTCAAGCTTCCGCTTGGAGCTGCGGAGCTGTGAGTCCACCTGCTGGGCATTCCTCTTGTCGGTAGTGGCCCTGCGCAGATTCTCTGCACCCTCCTTGATCTTCAGCTCCTTGCGGATCTCTCTGCGGATCTTCTCGCGGTGCTCATCCAGCCGCTGCTGCACACTGGAGTCTGAAAAGTCTGAGTTTTGGTCCAGACCGAGCTGCTGGAGCACTGACAGCCTGTCTGTGTCACTCTGAAAAAGGGAAAAAAAAGGAGATGGTTGTTATTGTTAAAGAGCCTAAAGAGAAGGGAAAGATGATTTCCCACAAGAACATGAAAAAAAGGTTCTATATTTAGGTTGCTGTTTATGAGAAGGATTATTCAGTTTGACCTAAGAAACTGATTTGCAGGGTGACGGAGCAAAGCTGAGGTTATGACAGTAAAAGCTGGAAACAGTCACCCTGCACATATTTGACAAAATGAAGCACTGCAGGATAAAAGGAGAGAAAAACTGTACGTCTGTGAGAGAATCGTCAACATTTGAGACCTGCCAAGCTGACGTGGTGAAGCAGCATCAAAGCAGAGGCAGCACTTAAGTGTGTAAAGAGCTGAGTGCTCACATCAGCTCTCCTGCTGATCAACACTAACCAGATTACAGAAGATTAGAACAGCAACAATGCAAACTAAAATCAATCAGGGTCTCCTTCTGGATGGGTCACTAGTAAGCAAACATAATAGTAAGCATACATGAGATGCAATATTTAGTAGAGGAGAAAACAGAATATCACCAGATGCACAAGAGTTTAATTTGAGCTTATTTCCAGCATCTTTTTTTTTCTTGGTCGGTAATAAAACAGTTTTACATGATTAACAGTTAATAATCATCCTTATTTTTCTTATACTGGACCTTGGTGCAGCCCAGCAGTTAATCCTATGTCGGAAACAAGCTTTTTTCTGCAAGCCAACTTTCTGTGTGTTTCAAACAGAAAGTCTGAACAAAAGGTGGACGGACTGTGTTGATCAGAAGAGAATACAATAAGATGTAAAAGAAAGGAGGACGATCAGGGGTGTCCAACTCCAGGCCTCAAGGGCCGGTGTCCTGCAGGTTTTAGATATCACCCTGGGTCAACACACCTGACTCAAATGATTAGTTCATTACCAGGCCTCTGCAGAACTTCAAGACATGTTGAAGAGGTAGTTTAGCCATTTAAATCAGCTGTGTTGGATCAAGGACACATCTAAAACCTGCAGGACACCGGCACTTGAGGACTGGAGTTGGACCCTCCTGTGTTACACGTTACATTAGCAGCTAATGCTAACAAGCTTGGTTACCAAACTGCATCCATAGATTATGTGTGAGCAATACACAATCAGATACCTGCTAATATTAGCTAGGAATAGTACAAAGTAACAGTTTTACTCACAAAATCAAACTAAAAACTTCTTGAATGGACTGTACAATTAACCACGCAGGAATTTAGACTGACGTTTTGCAGATATGTGATTGCTAGCCATCTGACATTAACTCTTCTGCCATTCTGGATGTTTGACAACCATGACGGCAATGTAGGGTCACGTGATTAAGACCTTGAGACCAGTCAGTAACCATTTGGCAACCAGTCATAAGGGAAAAATGAATATTCCAACAACCAGTTGCTCAGTGTTTGCAGGACCTTGATGGGAAATCCTTTGCTAAAGCCTCAGGAAAACAGATATAGAGAGCAGTCAGTGACCTCCTGACAACCACTGGTAACTAGGGAAAACTGTGTATCTCCAACCAGCTGTGATTGCTTTGATCGGTAGCAGACTGCTGTGGTCACTCACAGTTTGAACACACTAACTTTTCTACAAGCACTTACCAGCTATTCTCCAAGCAGTAGTGAAACTGTGAAAAGTGTGACACAAAACGGAAACGGAAAATGTTTGCTGGCACAGTAAAAGATGCACCTTCCAGTACTGGCTGCACAATTGTTACTTAGAAGACAAATATTCATCATTTCTGGTTTGTGTCACAGTTTCTCAAGTAACTGTGTTTCTCTCAGTTTCTCTCAGCAAGTATTTGCAGTCATGTTGACAACTTCTATCCAAACTGCTGGCAACCATGCCAATCTGATACTGACCAAGGCAATCATAAGGATGCTTTTGGTGGAGGACCCTCTTTGTAATTTCATCTAGTGATAACTAGCAGCCTCAAGGACACATTCGCCAATCAGTTAAGAAATACATATTTTTACCTCAAAATATCATGTCCAGTATGGTAAGCAACTCGTGTGCATGATGTCACGTGAGAAATCTCTACTATTTTTAACATAATTTTGTTAAAGCTGTTCCGAAAGGCAACAACAGCTATGGGTGACACTGAGTTTTAATAAAAAACCCTGCAGACAGACAGGCACACAGCCCTAACCCTAGCTAGCAGCTGAACACATAGCTGTAGTAGATGTTCACAGCACAGAACAACACTCTATGAGGAAGTCAATAAAGCTAAAGCTTAAGTTGTTTAAAACAACTTTTAAACAACCCAGAAATATTAAACAGTTATCATAAACGTTTACCTGGCTGCCACAAATGTTCTCATTAGCTTTTTAACTCTTAGCAAATACCCGGTACCACGTTAGCCACTAAGTTATGATTAACGTAGTGGCTAGTGGCTATGGCTAAAATGAAAAGCTAGCTAAGAGCTAGGCAACAAATATTATCAGGCCTGCACATCTGTAATGTTAACAGACAGCCTTAATTTAACAAGGTGGCTGTAATGTATGAGTTACCAATAATAATAATAATTTGCAGCTAACTGGCTATACAGATTTAAAAGAATTTCTAGCAGGCATTTCTATTTCTTCCACCAAAGTAAACCTATAAAAATGCTTATTTCATTACTGAAGTTGGACATTTTAACATGGGAGCTTAACATGGGCATCGTTCATTTAAAAAACATATACGCTTGACAGAAAATAAGGGAAAGCATAATTAACCTGCTCTTTTAAATTATGTGCATGGATTAATTTAAAAGTTGTTAACAACAGCTGTATCAGTTGTTACAGGCTACACCTTCATCAACGCGGCTCCAAAGAAGAGTTTGACCTCTGCCTTTAAACTGATTTAAGCCGGTTGATTTCGCTCATATTTCGAACTCAGTATGATGATGATGAACAGGCGACTGGAAGTTAACTGGAGACAGCAGGCGAGAGTCATTTGATGGGGAAGAACTTCTATGTGTACCAACAGCTGAGCATGGAAGGTAGACAGAAGGAACCTGTGAATCCGTGGAGCTAAACCTTTATGGCAGTAGATGGGAATGGGCACTGATGCATCCACAGTAGACTTTAAAAATAGGAGAAGTTGGCTGGAAAAAAGTTCAGAGATACTAACTGAACCCTCTTCTGCCAACATGAAGAAAGCGGAAAGTAAGCATTTAAAGGCATACAACAGGAAGTGAAGCGTTTTGTGGTGTGGCTCCGCTCCTGAACGTCAGATAATCTCCAGCAAACTCAAACTACAGGAAACGTCTTTGGCAATTTGGTCAAATTTGTCAATGCAACCATCATGAGATAACCATCATTATCTTACCCTTTATAGATGCAGCCCATAAAACCAAATAAAACCTGATGACACTAAAAATGAAACAAAACATTTTTAAACAGCAAAACCGAGATCAAACTAAGTGAATTCTTTAAAAACTGTTGTAACATCTGAGGGCTCTCAGCTCCACTGTGCTGGAGTTAAAAGACGAGCTGCTCAGGGCCTTTCCCTGCACTGTGCAGCCAGCTATCCAGTTTAGCGGATCTGATTACAGCCGCTTAGGTCTCCGTGTCCATCCAGCCACACACAGGCTACGGCTACAGCACTGTTCTCATTAGGCCATAATCCATCGGCAACACAATGCACGACAACCAAACCACATGGCACAGGCCGAGGGCTTGTGGGATTTTAACTGCAGATTTAATGCAATGTTACGTCACTGCACAGCTCTGAAGCAATCAAACTGAGCGTGTCTCACTTGTTGTTGAAAAAGGTCAACTATGTTATCTTGCTTGGTCTAGAAGAACAACAGACGCACTATTTTTATACACGTATACAGAAGTAGGCATGTACGATGGATGCATACTGCTGTATATTATTAACATCGCTGATGATGTGGCAGACCTGAACAGCATGAGCGCGCCAGCAGCGGCCATTCATGGCAGAAAAGAAAGCGGAGCAACCATGAACTGCAGGAAGGGAGAGTTTGCACTCTGACGTAGTCCTGCTCGACACAATACAACTTAATCCCTGGTGTTTTACAACAAAGAACCTCTGGAGTGAGGTATAAGACAAATCAGGCAGCAGGGTGAAATCACAACAGTGGACAGCAGTCAAAATTCACAAGTGATTCGCTGTGAGACAGTAGATGTTTTTACAGGAAATGAACGAGGAAACTGACAGAAAAGAGAAGGGCCACAGTAACGCAGGGAAAGAAAGCGGCGGTGTTGAGGCCTGCTCCGGCCACAGTGGCCTACCGAAGACTCTGGATCACCCTGCTCGGGGCTATCAATCAACTGATCCCGTGGCAGGTCTTCCAATGCACAGTCCTCACTGGCCATCTTTGGCCTCCCTCCGGCTTTGCTCTTGGGCCACCACACACACACACATACACACACCCAGCACTGACAGCAGCACCAATCAGACAACACAAAGTCCTACTCCTGCCTCCCCCAAATCCAGGATGTCCTTCCCGCCAGGAATCAAAAGCCAGGCTATATCTGGAGCGAGTGAACAAGGTGGAGGAGAGGAAGAAAGAACGGCATAGACCGAGCCCCACCTCGCTGCTTCCTGTTCTGCTCTTTGCCAGATAGAGACTGAGGCGTCATGCACTCTGTACACACACACACATTTAAGTGGTTTTGTAACTGAGAGAGCTCACAGTCACTCTGCTTCCTGCTACCGAGTCCCCATAGCTGAGAGACAGGCTGTTGTGATAGAGTCTACTACCAAAGCAAGTTCTTGTGTATTTTTGGCATATTCGTGAATATGGAACTATGATACACACACAGATTTTATGCATCCAGGTCAGAATTTCTGCATAGATAATAAGACACTGTCAGAAAAAGTGTTGGATTAAGAAAATAAACCTCTAAGTGAGTAGGGATGTGTCAAAGGACAAGCTGATGGATCTGCATTCCCTGGGATAAAGGCTGAAGCAAACAAACTCTTCTCACTTGAACACTAAGCCATGGATATTAAAAACCTGTGCACGGAGATGGACTTTGCCTG